AATAAAGTAAGCCCATTGTCTGAATATTTGGCTTTTCAAATTTCACCAGTGTGCTTAATATTCATTGCTGCCCCTGCACGTTAATTTTCTTTGTAAAATGAGTTGCGCACCCAGCCTCTAGCTGGAATTGGTGTCTGTGTTGTCTGGTGGTGTAAACTGTTACTCTGTCATGCTAAGGGTCATTACCACAGGCTAGGATGTTACATTAGAAGTCCACCTGCTCTGGTAAATTGTAGTCTTTGAAGGGCATTTTAGTTAATTATGATATTCCGGCAGGAAGGCTTTTAATGTTACTTGCTTTTGTCTTAAAGAAATTGAAAATGTGGAAGCAGGAACGTGCATTAGGAGGGAATTCAAAATAAACCTGATTCTGTGTGGGGCATTCAAAGTGGCTTTTGTGTTTTCCACCGGGCAGAAGTGTTGTAGGCATGTAAGTCATAGTTTACTATCTGCATAATGGATGGTTTAAAATTAATTTGTTTCTAGTTTCTTTAGGAAACTGTCAAGATACTTGAAATTTGTGAAGTGTCAGCGATATGTTCCTGTGGAGTGATTATTTCCTCTTGCAGCTTTGAAGACCCAAAGTGCTTCTCCAATGTGGTCATGTGTCTTACAATAACTGTGGAATTTGCTAGTGTAGTCTCTCTCTAATAAGATAGTTGGAACAGGTGAATCTAGATATTTTGTACATAGGACAGGTATCTTTACATTCAGAGTCTCTGTTTTGTTCTCTTGAATATTTTGGCATTTCTATTAATTAATAGTGCGAGTTGTTCTGATGTTGCAAAGAGGAGATTCTTGTCTAGATTTTTTTAGATCAAGTACAAACCATGCAGCATTGACCTGCTTATTAGAGTCCAAGAATTGGGACTGGAGTATAGGAAGCTTTTGTGAAGAAGTAAGACTTCCGTAGTTCAGTTTTATTGGGAATAGGAAGAAATACTGCTATTTCACTCTATCATAACCCTTTTTGAATGAAATGACTACATCTGAAAATGTTGTTATTAATCAGCTGCTTCCTAAACCACCAAGTAACAGGTCTTACTTGATTGTCATTACCATTTCAAGCCTCTTGAGGGGAGCGGTGCCTCTAATCATAATCCATATAAAATAAGAATTACGTTTGGTGTTGGAAAGTGAAGAACTATGTCATCTGAGGGCACAAAATTTAGCCATCAAGACAGGAACATTCAGAGCCTCACAGCCATCTTTATCCTATGGCTTACAGAGGCCACAATATTGACCTAAATATGTTTCTCTGGAATGTTTTTTGTTCTGAATATCAGTACTTCTGCTGTAAGGAGACTGCAATTATACTCAGTCATGGATGGAGCAATATTACATGCAGTGAATAAACTGGGCCTCCAAGCATCGAGTTATACTGGAGATGACTGCTGAGACTTCAGGCAAGAATCAGGAAAATCTGGCCATTTCACATGAGACTCGAAGAAAGAGATGTCCTTTTTAATCTAGGCTGCATTGTATGTTCTTGTTAATCAAAGACCTGGTTGTAGCTACTATGCTTATTTTATTTTTTTTTTTTTTTTAACATTTTACGATTATAGTTCGGTTCGGCAGCAGTAAAATTGACACAGATCTGATTAATCGAATAGAAAGAGCCATTGGGCAAAAACCTCACCGCTTTCTACGTAGAGGAATCTTTTTTTCTCACAGGTGAGTGTTTCTTGTTTTAAATTCCAAAAGGTCCTATTAGGTAGACTTTCTGTGAGCATTACTGGGAGAAACCTATGACTAGCAAAAGACCATGTTCTTTTATACCAAGGTAAACCAACATGTGAAATTAGCAACGACTGCAGATGTCTCCTGGTAACATTTGAAACCCTTGGTTGCATCCGTTTGATGTGTCCTCACTAATCCCAAACTGAAGAAGAGTGCACAGAAGCTTTGCTTAGTACAGGCTCCGTTCTGACTCAGCGTTAGCAGCCAGACATAGGCACTGGCCTAGCAGAGAGCTCCAGGGCTCATAAGGTGTCACTGCAGATTTCAGCCAGGGTCCACGTGGCCTGTGGACCTGTGCTTCTCTGTTGTTACATCAAAGGCTCAGGGAATAATCTTAAGCGCCAGCCTGCCAGTCTTCTACACTGTTTAATTGTTAGCATGCATGAGTGTTTGGACTATGGCAGCTAGAACATTTCAGTAAGTGCCTGAGCATGATTCAGAGCATAATCTCCACCAAGGTTCCAAGATGGTTGTTTGAACCTGTTTGGGAAATGATTCCCTGCTGTGTTTTACTAGGCCTTAGAATTATTATTGAATTAAGTAATTCTGGAAGTTGTACATTTTTTTAATTTTTTAATTTAATTGTTCTTTGAGTGGGGTTTTTTCATGGAGGCTGAAGGAGACAAAAATTTAAAAAATTACCAGAGAAACCCTTTTTATTTCTAGGAGGAGGGGGGAGGTGAACGAGCAGCTGTGTGGTGTTTTGTTGCTGGCTGGAATTAAACCACAACAATACTATATTTTTATTTATAAACACGTTTGCCTCTAAAAGCACTTACATTTTGAATAGAAGCTTTTTGTTATGGATGTTTCTCCCTAAAGAGCTGCATCATGTTTTCTATGTTTTTTCTTTAGAGATATGGACCAAATCCTTGATGCTTATGAAAATAAGAAGTCCTTTTACCTTTATACAGGCAGAGGGCCGTCCTCTCAGGCAATGCATGTTGGTCATCTTATCCCATTTATATTCACAAAGTAAGTTATTTCTACCATTTGTATTAATCAAACCATTTTTTTTTCTGAAGGAAATTATGACTGTGGTTTATGGAACTGCCAGAATGACACCTTGCAAGGAGTTCTGTTGATGTGAGATCAGTAGTAATGGACTTAAGCAATGCAGTTTTACCTTTTCACTAAAATTATCATGATCCCTGCATCACCATAAAGCCCTCTTCCTTGCACCTTCAGCCCTGTGGCACAGCTTAAAATTTTAGTTCTTCTTAAAAATGAGTTTGTGAGGAGACTCACTAAAATTACTCTGTAGTGGGATGCCTGCAGCACCAGGACACAGAGACAACGGACCCAAAGAGCTAAAAGTCTCTTTAAATTCTGTTGCCATTGCAAATGGTGACCGCGGTCATATGTACAGGAAAGAGTAGGTGTCTTTTTTCCAGGTAAGTTGTCATTATAATCTGTGTAAAATGTTTATTTTGTTCACATAAACGTAACTGCATATGCATACAAAGAAAAGAGAAACAGACCTCTTTATTTACTTTTGTTTAAATGTATAAAAATATTTTAGCTGCGTGGCTTATGTCTTCATTGTAACTTACTTCGAGATAAAATCTTTCTGCTTTTATTAGGTGGCTGCAAGAAGTATTTGATGTTCCCTTAGTTATACAGTTAACTGACGATGAGAAATACCTTTGGAAAGACCTGACAACTGAAAAGGCATATGAGTATGCTAGAGAAAATGCAAAAGACATCATTGCATGTGGTTTTGACATGAATAAAACCTTTATATTTTCTGATTTAGACTATTTGGGGTAAGTATAAATCTCTTTAAGGCATTGTAATTAAAAAAAGTCTGTATTTTCTCTCCAACTTTGACAGCCAGCAGTGTTTTAATAAATTTATGTAAAAATGAAAGCTTCAAGACAAGTTTTACAACACTTAAAATAGTAACATATTCATTATTCTGCTGTCTAACATTTTATATATACTGTTGTCATTCTCCTGTATAACATATAAACAAATATTTGTGTGTGCAGTGCTTAAATTTAAATTATGAAAAATATATTAAACCAGCTAAGTTGAAAAATACCTAAACCACCAAGCAATCTCCAGGTTGATTTAAGATGGTATCAAAATCTTTCAGATGTGTTTACACTTTATGTGAGTTAATGGAAGGCATTTCAGCAACTTGTTGTGGTCAGTTGTTTTAATAACACAACATGAAAGATTATTCTTTGAACTTTGAGTAAAGTTTAAAGAAGATTTAAGAAAAAGAAGCTGCTTTTGGAACTGCCTTCTCAGAAGGAAGTTTTATGGCAGAGTTCAGAACTGAAGTTGTGGGGTGATAGCTTCCTTAAAGACCTGGAAGAGAGAATATGTATTTTAGAGATGAGCTGTATAACATCCATCCCCCAGAATGTGGGGCCTACAAAGCAATTTTTCCTCCTTTCACTCCCCTGACTTCCCTGCGTTGGAGGAGTTGCATTAGCACACATCTGCCTTGTGGCTGAACAAGGGCGGGTCAGAACTGTGGTTCCTTCTGCTCTTCAGCAGAAATCCGAAAGGAAGAAGTTGCTGAGGTATTTTTGATTTGGAAATGCAGCAGCTTATTTGGTGACAGAGAAAGTCCAGTCAGGGAACTTAGCCTGTAGAAAATGAGAATTTGGAGGATTTGAGCTACTATTGCTTTGGTGAACCTCAGTGTCCTGTACGGGATCCACGCTGGGGATACCAAGCAACACAGAAGACATGATCCATTCAGGTTGCCTGAGTTTACAGAGAAGGATAAGGATAATTATCTTCAGTCTCTGTGAGTCATTTTGGCACTGTTTCAATATCAAAATATTTTTGGATTTAGACAGTTAATTGCAAAAAATGTTTGTAGTAAATACAAGGGGGGGAGAGAATAAACTTTCAAGGCATAAAATTCTTCTTGTTTGTAACTAATTCTCTAATAATCATATCAATGGGCTAAAAAAAAGTCTGAAACAGTGAGATTTGATCCTTCAGGTTTTTTGACCTCCTAAGCTTTTGGAATGAAAGTTTCTAACCACACTTTTCTGCTCTTCTTCTTTCTTTCTCACAGGACAAGTACTGGATTCTACAGAAACATTGTCAAAGTTCAGAAGCATGTTACATTTAATCAAGTGAAAGGAATCTTTGGCTTTACAGACAGTGATTGCATTGGTAGGAAATAATATGAGTTACTGGAAGTGATGCTTACTTTCACTTTCTATGGCACTATTTAAGTAATAGAAATCAGTGTCGTCCATTTATGGAATGGATAGAAATTCAGGAAGATCCAGGTTTCTAGCCTGCTTCTAAAATGGTGGTGTTGTGGTTCCTTCAGTATGGAAAACACTTTACAGTGAAATTTCTAGCATGGTATCTACCTTTTTGGCAAAGTACAAAACGCCAGAATTGAAGTACCCAGGATAGAGAACTATTCTTTTTTTTTTTTTTTTTAAGAGTGATTGCAGCTATAGTCAATTATGCCTCCTAGAAATTTCTATGCCAAACTTATATAGAAGCTTTTCTCTTCAGAAAAAGTTATATTAATACACACATGCATATGCATCTATGGAAAAAAAGTTAGGGAGCTCTCAAAACCCTAATTATCAAGGTTCTTGGTAACTCTATCTTCCATTTACTTCACTGCGATTGCAGATTTCTATCACATTGGCCAAAAAAAGGATTTCGTGTTAAAGATGACATTAATACCTTGTTGTTCCTGAGCTCTAATGTCATTCTTTGACCAGTAGTTGGGCCAGTGACAGCTTTTCAGCCTTCGCTGTAACCAAGGAACGGATTCCTACTTTTTTTAACAGTGATCTAATAAAAGCTGGTATTTTGATAATGACTTCATTACATGTTTGGAAAAATCTGCTATTTCCTTTCTGTTCTGAGAAGATTTTGGTCAGGGAAGCAGGGTGATGACTCTATGATTAAGCACTGCATAAAAAAGAAAACTAGAGACATCTGAGATGCTTCATGAGTACAGCATGCATGTACCAATGATCCTAACAGAGGAGGACTTGCCTGGTAAGGCAACACTGCTTGATAAAGATAGGTGTTGGTCTTCAACTGAGTATCTGAATGATCCACTTGTGCATTTTACATATTTCAAAAAGTTTTGTTTATCATTGTTTATATCAGCTGCTCAGCTTTCCCAAACATGTTGTTTTCCAGGAAAGATCAGCTTTCCTGCTATTCAAGCCGCTCCATCCTTCAGTTCATCATTTCCACAGATCTTCAATGGCAAAGAGAACATTCAGTGTCTTATCCCATGTGCTATAGATCAGGTAAGAAAAATCATGTTATTTAATTTGGTTTTCATGGATTTGTTTTTGTAATGTGTCATTCAAGCTTCACGATGGTATATTGAAATGTCTGGAAAACATTCCTACAAGCACATTTCTGGGGCAGAAGCTGGAAGAGCTAAAAGGATGTTGCGCTGTGTCCTGACAAAGGCTCAACCCAACAACCATGTGTTGGTTGGGTAATGTAATGTTACATGAATGTAACATGAATGTAACACATTCATGTGTTACACATTCTTGCCAGTCTTGGATCTGCCTTGATCTTAATCCAGTTCACGGTGAGTGGACGTCCCTGAAAGCAAAGACAGTAAAACCTATGCAAAAATACACTGACATGGGGTTTGGAGAAACTTTTGTCCATCTCCATGGTAACTAGGACAAGATGTAATGAGCTCCACTTGCAGCACAGGAGTTTTGCATTGAACCATAGAGAAAAAAACTTCTATCACTAAGAATAAAGAAGCATTAAAATTGATTGTCAGAAGGGCTGCAGAACCTTAATAATTCAGTTGTGTAGAGAGGTTGGAAGAACGCTTGTCACAAAGGGCAGTGGTAGTGTCCTTACTTTAAATAAGTATTGTTTCTAGGAATCAAATTCTGCACTGTCTGAATCTTTAGCTATTTTAGTCACAGGGACAGGCACTTTCCAGTCACTGGAAAATGATGTAATTACATTCATCAGCCACAATATTATGTAGTTAATATTAGCGCAGTTGGTTTAAGAGACACATCAGGACAGCACTGCCAGCTTGGTGACTGGGTTAGTTCAGATTCCCTGCTGGTTGTTAAACACTTTGGGAAGAAGCTTGCATCTTAGTCTGCATCTGTCTCCAGGCGTACTAAGCATAGTGTTCACAACTATTTGAATTCCTGTGAATCCTTGTAAATACCCCTATTAATTGAGGGAATCGTAGTGTGCAGCAAAACTATGGAAATGGAAAAACAGAGGGATTTGTTTGTTCCTCTGGATGAACTGGATTGGACTTAGGTTGTGGAACGTTTTATGGGTTGGTTAGTTGGTTGGGTTTTTGTGAGACCACCTGTTAAGGCGTGAACTAGTTGGCACTAATCAGCTTTTAAATCACATTTTTCAGTTTTATTCTGTGCTTTTACTGATGGTCGTTCTAGGATCCTTACTTTAGAATGACCCGGGATGTAGCACCTAGAATTGGACAGCCTAAACCAGCCTTATTGCACTCGGTCTTCTTCCCAGCCCTGCAAGGAGCGCAGACAAAAATGAGTGCTAGTGACCCGAATTCCTCCATCTTCCTCACTGATACACCCAAACAAATCAAGACAAAGGTAAGGACTTGCAATATCTGAGAGCGGAAAGCTTTAGAGCAAAAGGGAGAGGTGGTCCTCATGGTTACGATATATTTTTTTAACCTTTTCTTTGAACATACCTGAATCCTTTTCCCTATACACTTCATGGCAGAGCATCTTCAGGAATTGGCTGAGTTTTGCAAATTTACGTAGACTATCAGATATAATCTTTTGCCTACCAACTAGTCTAATAGTACAAAGATTAGCTAGAATAATATACAAAACATCATGGTATCTGGTATCTGCAGAGCAGTGGTGTAAGAATATTTATTTTTAGAGCATGAGCCTCCACAGCTCTTATGTTGCCATAGTTTTGAAATCTGGCAGTCCATGATGTAAATCAAATAAACAGCTCGCTCTCGTGACTGCCTTTCCATGCTGGGAGCACCAGGCGTTGCAGTGTCGGTTACAACACAGGTCAGACTCTTCCTGCGGCTTGGGGATCTGCTGCTGCCAGGCACTCCTCCCTCCAGTTCACAAATAAATATTGTGTTGAATCTCACCTAAGTTTGAGAAGGGATATTTTCTCCTCTCTGAGTATATTTCTCATGCCTTTTCAAGCTTGAAAGAAAATCCCTCTTATCTAGTGTCAGACAATTTGGTTTGGCAAAAGTTTGTCTGTGTTGTGGTATTTTAAAAAATAAATAAAAATCAGTCTTTGGAAAAGGATTTATTGGCATGATAACTAGACATGAAATAACTATCTGTCAAAACAAGACAAAAGATGTATATGTTGTTTCTGCTGGGTGAGCTTGGATTAATTCTCTTATGCTTGACAAACCCATGTATAGGTGAGATTCTTCTACAACAATCTCATAATGATTCATTATCTTATGTAGAAATTGCTTAAACAGTACTGTTTTAAAGAATTGGAATTCTTCATGGGTTTGGTTTATAATAATTCCCATTTATTTGCACAGTTACAGAGCTGCTTTTAAACAATCCGTGATTTCAGAATAGAGGATACATGGTTAGCGGCAACGTTGGTAACAAGTAGCTAGTAATCTATAAAGAGGTCCAAGGTGCCTTACGTCCAGTTCATAACTCCTATTTCTGCTATCTTTAAACCCCCTGGAAAAATAACAAAATCAAATTAGCTACTTGGGATATAAAAACTATAAAGAAAAAATTCTGAACATAATGTGAAGCACTGAGTAAGGGAGGACAAAGATTTATTTCAGCTTCTGAAGCCATTCATTCAGAAGCAATTCTTCATGGAAATAGAGCTTGAGTGAAAGACCAAATGTTGTTATGGCCAATAAATAAAAAAATAAAGTAGGAAAGGTGAATTCTGGTGATGGATGAAGGTGAAAGAGAGTGCTGTCGCTGCACAAAAGAAATTACTGCTTACAGCATTTTTCAAGATTACGAGTATATTGCGAAGTAATGGGGTTCAAAATGTACAGGTAACAAAAGATGAAAAACCACTAGATATTGAGAAAGGTGAAATAAGAATACTTTATTATAATGTTGCCATTCATCTCCTTGGATTTCCCAGAAGCTTCTCAGCCTATCAGCATCAAATTACAGCTCAATTATTTGTTTATTTTCCTAGAAAATGTTATTTACATTCTGGGTCTGTACTAATTCAGGGAAAATATCAGTGCACCACCATAGATAAATCACTGAAACCCTCCGTCAACGAGTAAATGCCAGAATATGTAAAAATTGAATTTGAGATTAATATAGGAAATGTTTTATATAAAACAATAATGTGCCTTTACCTGGCATATTGTATTTACTCCCTCTCACCTTAGTAAGAAGACAGACTGTAGATGTGAGGGACGTAGAAAAAAGATTTCATACGTAGACTTTCAAAATCTAGTGAGGAGAGAGGGGAGAGGAAGTGCAAAACAATATGTAAAAACTTGGTTTTACAGATACTGAGACAGCTATTCAGGCTGTCCTACAATATAAGAATAGATGCAATGTGACAGATGGCCGTTTATTTTCTTAAAATGCAACATTTTTGTATGCAGTTTGTCGCTACAAGATATCATCTGTGACATGGTGGGTAGAAAGATTCCAAAAAGCACTAGACAGTCATACAGATAGTAAGAATGTTCAGGAACTGTAAATATGTAAGAGTTCCTCAATACCAGAACTAAAAAATAACTACTTCATATGCATGTATGTCTCTTGGCTGGTTGATGATGGTATCTGAAAAGATACAAGAGCCAAATGAAAGCTCAGCTTATGGTTGAGAAATACTTTTTTTCTTCTTCCTGGTAATTTATTTTCTTTAAATTTGTAGGAAGATTAGCATCCTCTGAGAATTCTACACATGTATAATTTTTTTAATTAGGCCAGTGGCTTTGGAATTTTCTGGGAATGAGATTACCAGGTAAATCTGTTCACCAGGGCACCTCATCAGCCCATATGAAGTAATGCTTAAACAGAGGGGGGAAGAGTCAGCAAGTATTCCATTTTTAGACTGAACAATTGGACATTTGTCTAATTTTAGCCATTCTAGCCAGAATTTTGTAATCTTTAGCTTTGCTTTCTCTTGTTTTCCTTTTCCCTGAAAAGAGGAGGAGACTGGGTTTTCTCTGGGGTTTCTTCAGAATTCTCCATACCTTCTTCATCTCTTTCAAAATTAGTTTCTTGATGAAGCGAATGTCTTACTTTTTCTTACTTGAAGTACATTTCCTGTGAGCACAGGACAACAACGGACAACAACTTCAGCAAAAGGGACTGAAAACTTTGACTGAATCTTGGGTGGATTCTTTTTAACTTTATTTTTGTTCTGGTCATGTAGTCTGAGGAGTATGTATATGGCCATTTTTCCCTGCTGGAAGTACAGTAATCGAGATTTTAGTAAAAATTATAACATCCTTATGTTGTTTCAGATTAACAAGCATGCCTTCTCAGGAGGCAGAGATACTATTGAAGAGCACAGGAAGTACGGAGGTAACTGTGATGTTGACGTGTCTTTTATGTACTTGACCTTCTTCCTGGAAGATGATGACAGGCTTGAACAACTGAAGCAGGTAAGTAGCCAAGTTGAAGATAATATTATTCATTCCTTGTTGTGAGGACAAAGCTGTAACCAAGTCCTCCTGTGAACCTACTCCAGGAAGGTAATTGTGTTGTTATTCTTGCACTCTCCACCTTGCAGGTTGCAATATTAAGATCTTTGTATATGTTTGTTTGCAATATTCTTTCCCACCAGAAAATCTATCTCTTCTTTAAGGAAAAAATAAAGAAAGAAAGAAAAGAAAAGAAAAATTTCGAAGTGTTTTCATAAGGATTTCTGACACTCTGTAGCAATATTTCTTCTGCCTTTCAATTGAGGCCACCTTAGGATTAGAGTTACTTTAATTGTGTAATATACTCTGCCTGTTTCTTATATGTAAAGTACTTAAATGCTGTGCAAAACTAGAAAAGTTCATGTCTAAAGCTTGCTGGTTTTTTTGCTTTTTCTTACCATCACAAGAACTGTAATAGCTGTGAGGAATTAATTCGCTGATCCCAAGCAAATAAGTTGCATTTGCCTTAAACCTGTCTGGCAGACCCTGTCCCCAGGGCTGGTAGCAAGACATTTCAGTTCCTTCAGCTGTATGATCATCACCAACACTAGGCAGTGCGCATTCCCTGGAAGGCAGCACCCGCAGTTGGTGGTACCTGTGTCACGTTGGTTTATCAGCTTTCTCCTGCTGGGAACAGCTGGAAGAAAGTCAAGAGCTGCAGATTCTTCTCCAACCCTCTACTCTTATGCAAGAGCAGGGTGGGGTAGCTACTAATCCCCATGCAGACTGTTGTAAATTCCTTATGGAAATCTGGAGCGCGTTTGACTTACTGAGCTGTTTTCCATTAGTCTCCAACCATGGCAGCGGTATCAGCCTAACTCTGCTGCCAAGCACAAAGCCTAGATCCCAGCTAGCAGCTTGCCACAGTGCTGCCTGGAACCAGAAAACATGAAGCTGCTGCTGGTAGCTACTAATCCCCATGCAGACTGTTGTAAATTCCTTATGGAAATCTGGAGCGCGTTTGACTTACTGAGCTGTTTTCCATTAGTCTCCAACCATGGCAGCGGTATCAGCCTAACTCTGCTGCCAAGCACAAAGCCTAGATCCCAGCTAGCAGCTTGCCACAGTGCTGCCTGGAACCAGAAAACATGAAGCTGCTGCTTATGGTGACATTAGTGGAGCCGTTTCAGTTATGGTAACAGAGGAAGAAGCTTTCAGAAGTGGATACTCAGAGAAAGCAGTATTAGTGGGTTTATAACAAACAAAAACACAAAACCACCTTCCAAAATCCACCACTGAAATTACAGTTCAGTGCATTCTTGTTAACACATTTTACTGTTGCTGTGTGAGCATCAGCAGTTGTGCCTTGACTTGGTATTACAAATAGCTTGATGACAAGGGAAGGTAAGATTATCGTGTTTATTGCCATTTCAAAGCATATTGAACTGCTCCAGCCGTGGTTTCTTGTCGGGGAAGCAGGGCACGGACTCCATCTTGTGTTAGAATGAAGACCCTTTATTGAAAAAGTACAGGGTATATATAGTTTAAACGAGGCTAACTTATGTAACTTACTAAGTTCTAATTGGTTACACACGTATCTTACTTATTTATGATAGGTTACTTTGTCTCGGCCACACGCTGATCTCATGCAAACTGTTACAAATTCTTTCAGTTCTGAGAGCTTCTTTCTATCAGTTTCACATCCTCCCTAACTAGCTTATTTATCACTCAATGTCCTTGGCTTGTTCTCTTCCTATCCTTTCATGTACGCTGTACCAAGCAGCTCCACGTAGTTCTTTTCTTAACAAACATCTTTGTTTCTCATTCTCCTTTCGAGGGTCAGTTCTTAAGTTCCCACGGGCCCACTATGCGGTTTTCAATATAGGACTCCACCGTTTCTAACCAGGGCTGAGCCAGTCAGCTCTTAGCCTGTGCTTCTACCTCAAGCATTTTCAGTGTCGGAGCCGGTGAATGAAGTACAGACTGTGAACATCACTACTAGTGTGAACATAGATTCTGAGTGTCTCCTGTGAAAAGGACACTTCAATCACATCTAACCTCTTACCCAAATACAATGAGAGAAAAATATGGAAAATTATACCTCTTATTGCAAAAAACAGCTTAGGGTGCCTGCTTATTTGAACTGGGATTCCGGTGGGGGGAAATTACGCGGCTTCCTGCAACTAATTACAGGATTTCCCAGTTAAGTCCTTGTGAATGTAGTTTATTTGTAGTTTATTCAGTCCATAAATCTTGTCACATACGAAATTGCCCAGCTGTCTTAACCTTTTAAAAGGCAACAAGCAATTTTGCAAGTCAGATTTTCAGAGTGATAACACAAGTTCTTCTAAAGCACGTGATTATTTTTAAGACCTGCAAGTCTGTATTTGCTAGGGCCAAGCTTTTAAAAAATACTTGCCACTGGGTCTTTTTCCATAAGGCACCGAATTTACCAGTCGACACTTTCTTGACAGGCATACACAAGTGGGGAATTGCTCACGGGGGAGCTGAAGAAGGTTCTTATTGAAACATTGCAGCCCTTGATAGCAGCTCATCAAGAGAGACGGAAGCAGGTCACAGATGAAATGGTGAAGCAATTCATGACTCCGCGGAAGCTAGCTTTTGAATTTTGAAGACATGTGGATGTAACTTACCACTTGATTAACCAAAATTGAGTAATTGTTGTCTTCTGTCATGTGTCATCACTCCCTAGATATGTACAGCCTCAATTAGTGCTTTACAAATACTGCTTTTAATGAGTTAAATTATAAAGACTGTCAGAGCGCAGGAAAAGTTTAAAACAGGACTTATGCCTATTTAAAATCAGAAATATACAAGAGACAGAATTGGCCAGTCTTGCAGAAAAGCATGTCTGTCAGCATAAAACTGTATTTTATTGTATTTAATGTTGAAAATAGAAATAAAACTCCCATTTTGATGATAAAGCCTAACTTGTAAATTGTTTTAGATATGTAGGTAAGAGTTCGTATCTCAAACTAATAACTAGTCACTCCATTTCCTGTTGTGCTGTGTGCCTTGGCTGACTAGACTGCATGTCCTATTGGGTACTGGGAACATGCTGCACACCAGAAGACAGTGAATGTAGATTACGCAGTGACTTAGGCCTGGCATCAGTACAGAAAGAATGGAGATCTGTGCGTTGAACGGGAGAAAGAATTATCAGGCTGGTTTTGCTGTTGCTGTCCTCTTCGAACTGGGGCAAGTCATGGAAATCTCACTGTACTTCAGTTTCTGCAGCTGTTTAACTGGTCTGACTGCCTCTGGAGCAAGGAGGTTATAAAGTTCCTCTGTATTCTCAGGTGGAAGATAGTATAGAAATGTAATTTTTGGTTTCTAGTTATAAAAGTTACCAAGTGTTAAATCATACCGTGAAAACGAAATTGCTGCTGGACAGAGGAATGCTTGTAGTGCTCTCTGTTCAGCTTTACTGCACCAGGTCATTCAAACTAGGGGTACTTATTTTAAGATGTATTCCAGTAAGAAAATACGCTTTGTTGAAATATCTCGTGTAATATTTCATTATCTCCTTTCTTAAAAAGAACTTCAGTATCTTTGCTATGCTTTACGGAAGAGAAATTCAAATTATTAGCTAATCGGGTTTAGTATGTACAGTGCGGAATGCAAGCGGTTAGAACCGTCTTGTACTTATACAGAATAGAAAGTTTCTAGCCCAAACATAGTCTTATCTACATCAAATAAAAATACCTTTGATAATGCAGGTGGGTATTGATGTGGTATTTGCAAATCATTTAAAAATATAAGGAAAGCTCTTGAATGAGGTGTGGAAGATTTAAACTTCCAACAGGTTCCATAGTGTGGGGCCTGGTGGACATGTATTGACTGCAGCATTCTTTAAAAACAAAAGAAAAGGGAAAACCCAAAAAGCACACTTTTAATTTGACCGTAAACTTCTGAAGTCAGTTGATTACGCTTGGGTTGAGGGAGAAGTTTGAAGGGTGAGACTTCTCACTGACTTCAGCAGACCTTGGATCTGCCTGTTGGCCCCCGAGGACATGCCGGACTGTTAGTGCTGCCCGGAGCTGGTGCCGCTGCCTTCCCACCAGCCGCAGTTCTGTAGCACAGCGTACGTGTCCTCTCCAGCAATGACCCTGCCTTCCTGAGGTGGAAAAGCCTATGTGCCAAGCTGTGTGTGAAGTGCCCCTGTGAGTTTATGTTTGTGCAAGGGACCAAGGAAAGACTGAAACGCAAGGCATGTTTAGTCCTGTCGCATGCATTTCCAACTTGTGCTGAAAATAGTCTTTTTCTTTATGGTTTATGTGAGCTAATCTAATGCTGTTGACCTTTAATGTATTAAAGTAAGTGTTTACCAGTGATGGTCTCTGTTATCCACAGTAACTGCAGTGTTGGCAGTGTTTAACAATCAGTAGAAAAGCCTGGGGTTTTTTTAAGTGGTACAACAGGTCTTTGAAAAGAAAAATAGCTTCTTAAATCCAGTAGTAAATAAACTAGTTCTTGGATACTGTAGACATCAGTGATGACCTTCCTGTTCTTGCAGTCCACTCTTTGTCGTCTTTAAGCTAAGTAAAATGTAAGACTTAAATTGACTTTTAAAGGGCTTTTACAAATGCATAATGCAAATTGCCGCTTTAGGATATTATATGCAGATCTGTCCTGCAGGATTTATTTCATTAAGAATTAATGTAGTTATGCAGGAAAGAGAAATGTGCTGTAAGAGAAACAGTAGCATGTTCTATTCTGACTAAGCATACGGATTAATTTTATAACACAGCAATTAAAATCTGCTTTGAAAGTTATAGAAAGGGAATTGGTAGCAATATTATTTAGTATGTGTTTACTCAGCAAGCAGGTCACTCAAGTACTCCGAGGAATTCTTACAAACATGCTTCCAAAATGATTCAGTTTGTCAGAGGAGTTGTCAAATTCCTAAACCTGTTGTAATTACAATTCATGGCCCAGAGGTGTTTAAAAGTCAAGACAAATCATTCTCCAAAAGCATGTGGGAAAGGTCTGTCATCAGGTAGTGTTCATTACATCTTCCTCCATTTGTTCGTAGTTTGTTCATCTCGCCCTAATAAAAATGTAGATAGAAGTCTGCATCAAATTTCTTTGATTTTACTCTTTTTTAAAAAATTTGTGAAAGGCTTAATTTACACTTACTCTATTTTTGACCTCTCTTCCTGCTCTTTTAGGTGTTGATTTATTCATCTGATGGAACTGGTCCTTGTTTGGATGACCAGTGCCTTTCAAGTAGTGCAGTAGGGCGCCTTATAACGATTCTCTCCAGTCCTGGCAGGTCGGCGTCAGGTTGCTCCCAGAGCAGCTAATAAGGGTCAGTTATCCGAAGATGAACTGGTTGTAAAGTAGGCCCAATATCAGCACAGCAAATGTGGTGTCTTCACTCTGTCAGCTGGCCTTCAGCTAATTCATCAGAAGAAATAGTTCTGTGGCTATCAGAGTAGCTGAAGTCAAGGTAATTCAAAGAAACCGGAAGATAAAGGAGTCAAGTTCTGAAATCCAGAAGCCAAAACACCCAGCTTTCTGTGTATGTAGTGAAGTACATGGTATGTACAGTGGGTCACGTCATTAAACAAAAAATCAACTTACGTGCCTGTGTTTACTGCACCAACATAGTCGATCCCTGTACCTGTGGGTAGTTTGTACGGGTCTGAATGAGCTGTGGGTTCCTGCTCGAAGGCAGGTTCTCACCCATACACTCTGTATATTTTTTTCCAGTAGATGTTTGAGAACGGGATGGAGTGGAAGGCAGTTACCTTCCTGAAATAAGCTGCCTGAAGACACAGCTTACCTCTCGTGTAGCATTTGCTCAGGCCACGTGAGAACCTGCTTTTTTTATATGGTGCTGAATACCCTGAGGCTTATGGTGCTCAGTCCCTCGCGCTGGCTCAGGCAGTTGTTCCCACTCATTTTTGCAATCCATCTGTAATTTCTGTTTCTTGAAACCAGCTGTGTTGCAGTTACACCCACGGGAGATGTTTTCAGTCATCTGCATGTGTGAGCCTATTAGGAAAGCTGGGTTACTTGATTTTCAAACCTTGAGCTGACCATGGATGGTATCACCACTTCCTAACAATAAACGGTTGTTTAGTCTGATTTGCAGCCATTTTTTTTTTTCTGTATCTGTCCAGGGGATGTAGTGCTTGAGAACAAGGTCAGCTGAGAATACTGCAACGCAAAGAAGTTTGATTCCAGAAAACATCCAGACAGAGATGGGATAAATCACTACATGTGATGCAAATGCATCCCTTGTAGAAGGCGGTGAGGGTGGTGGTCTCTTAAGAGCCATCTGAAGAGGAATTCCAAATCTTGAGGACTTAAGGACTTTGTGACTAAAGGAAGTTCACTGCTGATGCCCTAACAGGTCACTGGGGGTGGTAGGTTGCTGAGGCTGGAAGCGCTTTGGGAGAGAACCTGGTCCTTTCATTTCACTCCCCTTTAAGCTGACATGCCCTCTGGGATCAGCGGCAAGAGCTGGATACACCCTTGAGAGAAAAACTATGAAGATGTTTTGATAGTATGGCTGTGAGCACATTTTAAAAGCCAGTTGAAAGCATAGATTTCAGGAGGACAGTTCTGGGGCTTTTTCTGGTCTTTCTCTGCAGCAGAAGAGGTCCCCTTTGTTCTTTTCTAGTAGCACCTAAAGTTGTTAAACTTGCCATTCTAATACAAGATCCCTTTTTACATGTCCAGAGTAGCTGAGAATCCTGTCTGCTGCAAAATCACTGTCAGCGTAGTCAAGGTCATGCTATCAACTGGTAAAAATGGTTGTGGACCAGGTCATCAACCCTGAATACAGGGACCCCTTTAAAAAATAGTGTCTTTCCCTCAAAAAAGCCTCACTTTCAGCAGAATCTGACAGGCTTTATCCCGTCCACTCCAGGTGTCATCACCCAGGGATTAAACAGGAGACAGAAAACGTGTGCTGCTCCTGAGGTGGGATGAGCAAATTTAAATATTCCTGGGTTTAGGGGTTTTATTCTGAAGCAATAGTGTGGGTGTTGTTTATTTCAACTTACATGCTGATGAAACTTTATACTTTTGTGAAAAAGAAGCAATTGTTAGAAAAGTCAGAAATTCTATCAAAATATACCTCTGGGAAGGGGCGGGTGTATGTGTGTGTGTGCATGTGTGAAGTTGGCTGCTTCTACCAGTGTAGCCTAAAGCGAGAAGAGTATGCACTTTTGAGAAGTTGTAAATCTTAATAACACTCTACAACTTCACAATTCTGCTTTAACTTGCCTAACCTCCCTGTGCACAGACTGTACGGCAGCCTTGGCTTTGAGAAGCAAAGAGCTTGTGCATCTATTCCCACCCTCCTTCCAGGATGAGAACAGATTGCCTCCACAGCTGTGCCAAGCCGCGGTGCCTGGCCCTCCAGGAAGGGTTGTGCTGTAGGGCGCAGGGATTCACAGGGAGAAAATCACATGGCTTACGGGAACCCCTGCTGGGTTTCACTTTCGATGAGGCCATTAGTGCAGTTCTATAAACAGACCTCGTCTGCCACTCACTGAATAATCACAGGAAACAACAACGATTCATATTTCAGCTGCTACCAAAGTGATATAATTGTAGAGTCCTTGGCAAAAAATTACAGCTTGGAAGGCAAACGCTGGGCCTGAAGCACAACTACGCAAGTTACTCGGTGAAGGCAATGCAGCCATGACACGTAAGGAACACACACTGGGTAGTGCTAAATCTCACACAAACTCCCCCAGCTCTTGCCTTGATCGTGAAGATCACTTTCGGTCCCAGTAGAAAAATAAAAGGAATCCTATACCAAAAATCTCTGATCAGACCAGCAGCTTTTAAAAACATAAATATTTGGAAATGTTTCAAGGTCCTGAGCAGCAGCTACAGTCTATGTACATTAACGAGATAAAAGGGAGGTTGTATGTAAGTCCAAGACTCCCTGATGGGTTTGTAATCCTATAAAAAATATGAGGCCACCAGTCGTCCAGCTTTGCGCCGGAATGTCCGTGCTTCTTACACTCCCCATCGCGCTCAGCAGTTGTTTGTGGATGTTGTGTTACCAAAAAAAAACCAAACTAAAAACACACCTCTGAACGGAGTGGCACAGGCTATTTTTTGTTTGTATAATGATCTGTAAATCTCAGTACAGCTTCATAGGTTACAAACACCACCATGTTCACCGGAAAGGCACGGATGCAGTTCAAACCCAGTCCTTTGAAAAGCACTTGGGCACCCTCCTTCCTCACGCTTTCCCTGGCACAGTGGACGAGGCCTCTGTACTGGTGCTGCTCCGATTCATCTATTTGCATCCGTGACTTGATGACATCCATGGGAGTCGCTAACCCCCAGGCCAGGACTCCAGCGAAACCCCCGGAAAGCAGCACAACGAGCAAACCTGCGGGAGTGAAGGGAGCAGGTCACCCGAGCCTTGCGCTGACACGGCTACAAGCACCCCCAATCTGCTAACCTGGCTACCTCTCCTGGCTTTCAGCAGTTACTTTGTCCAGCTCCTGCAGCTGTGGGTTTCCAGTGATCTCACACAAAACATGCGGCCTCCCGATTTCACAATATATACATCTCACTGCCTCGTGCAGGGGCAGCGTCGATTTTAACAGCGCCCAAAGTAGATGTGATGCGGGCTGGGAGCACCCACACCCTCTTCAGCTGGGCCTGCTCATTTTTATAATCCTCAGGAAGAGGCTCTTTGCTCAATGTCACCCATTTGGTCTTTTCTCAAAGTGGGTAGTTTTTTGGAGCCAAATCACAACCAGGAAACTTAAGTGTCTTTACATTCTGCACCTGGGATTCATTTTCAGCCTCTGGACTTGCACCATGACAGCTCCTGGGAGGTTTGTCCACGTTTCATTTCTAGTGACATATCCTATTCTGCATTAAGAGGATTTCATACCCGCATACTGGGCACCAGGTCATGCCATAAACACCCCTCCAGCAGGGAGAGGAGTAGCTGTTGAGGGACAAGGTCATGCTGGCAAAGCCCTTGCACGCAGGCTGCTGGCACCCGCGCTGGGAGGGCACAAACAGTCCCGTGATGCCAGGAAGCAAACACACAGCATCCCCTGCGAGGACCGGATCTGGGTGAGGTTTTATAGGTACCGAGTGATGTTTGCCGAGAGCCTGATTTCCCTCTTCGGGTGGTACTAAACGAGCCATTTTTGCAGGTAATGCCAGATGCTTTACAATACCTACCTGGCTTATTTTTCCCGGATGGTGTGAGCCAGTCACACAGAGCAGAATAGGTAAGGAAATATATTGCAGAAGAGGAGCAATCCCTGCAGAGTAATGCAGAGCAGCCCTTGTAGAGACCCCTAAAACCTTCCTCCTTGGCGATCACCTTCAGACAGTGCAGGGACCCTCGGTACTTTGGTCTGGAAAGAGGCTGAGATGCCATGGAAGGATGGGGGTTCCGCTGAGTCTGCATGCGAACCTTAGCCACTTCACTAGGGGCCATGAACACAACCTGTAACAACACAGGATGGTATTTTAGCCCCTCACATTTCAACAGTTTTTGGATCTTCCTCCTGCAGATTCCTTGTCTCCCACCTTTCCAGACTAATATTAGCTGAAGCCAGCAAGTTCCAGCCTCTCTCCTCTGTCTGTGTTACATCCTACTGGGCAGCAGCAGGACACGCATGTGACCTGCACTGTGCAGGGTGGGAGGTGAGGCAGAAATCAACAGGGGATATTAAATACCTGTAGCAACTTGTTAAAACAGCTGGGCATGGAAAGGGGATGTCCTCAGCTACAAGGCAGCATACATCAAGACTCTTAGGTGTATCTGCATTTGGAACCAAGGCCATAAAGACTTATAAAAAATTAACCTGTGGTAACTAGAATTGTTGCCTGCTAGGAAACACCTAGAAACCTGACCATCTGGACTGCTCTGTAAGAGGATTGCCTGTGACCGGGCACACACTCCTGCCCAGCATGGCACTGGGCTGAGCTCTGCTGACTTCACAGAGCCTCACAGAAATCCATCTGCTGAGGGGAAACTGCTCCTGGATCCAGCCTCACCTCCCTGTCCTGGGATCACGCACGCTTGACAGACAGCATCACTTGTCAGTGACACCCCGTTGAGTTTTAAGTCCCATTTATTGCCCATTTCCACAGGATAACATGCTGGGCTTGTGCAGCCGCTGTCCAAACACCATCCTGTGCTTTGACACACGGAATTACTCTCTCTCGCATCAACGTACCATCAGAGCCCCTTGAAAAGTCTGCTGCCCAGGTTGTTTTTCATCCCTTTTTCTGCGTTTTCTGCCAAGACCCCATGTCATGCCTAATAGCGTGTTCTTAAGCGTTCGGCTGCCCTAAACACAACCCGGCACAAACCGCCTGGCAGGACTCAGCCATGCTGCAGAGCTGACCAGTGAGGGGGCCGTGCGGGCAGAGCATGACCCCAGCTGCAAAACAAACCCACCAGCCTTGTTTCAGGCTCCCCTGTGGCCTCCTGGACAGAAAACATTCCCTGCTTTTTTTCAGCTTCCTATGTTTGTGAACAAGATCCCTTGTTGTGCTCTCCCTTTTGGCTGTTTACCTACCCGGACAGCCCCGGCAGCACCTCCAGCAAGAGAAACATCCAGCTGGGACGGCTTCGCATCTGCAACCCCGTATCGCAGCTTGCAGATGGTGCAGAGGAAGTTTCTGTACGTGCCAAACGAAACAGAAGAAATCGCCGATACCATGAGGACTGATGCAGACACACCTTTGTAAAATCCCCACATCTAGTTGGAAACAAAGGAAAAAAGAACACTATTGACAGGGAATGGCATGGGAACGCATCTGCCTGAAAACACTGGCCACGCATTGCTGAGCCAAACTTCCTCCCATCTGAGAGCTCATTGGCTAAGCTGAATTTCACCCTGACCCTTCTCCCACCAAATGGCTGTGTGTAGCTGCTGCCCGTCCTCTCCAGACTGACAGGGCAGCTCTGCTTCCCTGAAAGGGCATCCCTAACTGGTATCAGCAATTCTGATAAGAGGTACCTACTTTTTCTGTCCTGTATGTTTCCTGAATGCAGTGCCAAATCCCATTGTAACGCCTCTCGGTCTGAATTCTCACCTAGAAATACAGGGACAACCTTAAAATGCAGGCATCAGATGAAAAAACAATTAAAAATTCAACAAATGCCATAGCAGCAAACTAGTTCATTAGCTATAAATGACATCCTCAAACAATTTACTTCTTTTTTTAAGAGAAAAACAGCATAAATGACATCCTCAATTTACTACTTCTTTTTTTAAGAGAAAAACAGTGCAACCAAATAAAGTAAAATATGTTGATGCAACAGAGATGAAAGCATTATCATGGGAGTAGTTTTCTAAAAAGGGAAAGTGGGGGGGAAAAGACTGTTTGTTTTCAGTCCCTAGTGAAGAAACAAAGCTCTGAGCCGTACCTTCACCGTGTCCAGCGGGTAACCCACTGCTGTGCTTAGACCACCTGAAACAGAGAGCGCGTTGGAGACGGTTAACGGCACACGCTGCGACAGACCCGGTTCCCCCATCGTGGAGAGTCATTAGGGGAGCAGCAGAAAAAGGCAGGTTCAGAGCCCTGCTGTTCCTAGCACCAGGCTTCCCCCCAGCACCAGCAATGACGCCGGAGCCAAGAACAACGGAGCAAAACGCACGGATTTCTCTGCGTGGCCAAGGCACGCGCAGAGAAGGAATCCGAGTGTCAGGAGGAATAACCCCACGGTGCAATTGGGCTGGGGGGAAACACGGCAAGCACTGCTGTGAGGAAGGCTCTGTGCATGCCGCCAGCTCTGGGCTCTGAGCAGCCCTCTGAAAAGGGACTCGGCAGGAAGGTTAAGGGATGACTTGTATGATATCACCTCTCGGCTTCGGTGGTACAGCATTTTTAGACTGTGACCAAGCACCCCCACATGAGGTGCAAAGCAAGCATCACCACTAACACAAGAGGTCTCTGATATAGTTTTGGTTCTCCATGCTTGATTTGGAAATATGAAGGAATAAAAGCAGCAGTCACAAGGACATTAACAAAAGAGGGGTGGTCCTCAGGCATTACAGGTTCTCAGCAGTCTGTCTTCCTTCTTGAAAGCAGAAGAGGTACTGCTGCTGCCTTCTGCATGCCAGGGACCAGACACACCCTGCCTGCACTTTACAACGCACATCCACAGCCCTGGGTGAGGAGTTAGGGTCCACAGCACCATGCTGGACTAAGCCCCTGAAGTGCATCTCCTCTGTGCACCGACTCCTGCTGCAGCAGCAGAGCAAGGAGCAAAAGCAAAGGCTGCTTGGCGCCCTGGCAGGCTGGTGTGACAGGGGGGCCAGGGGCTGCGTGCTGGCGTGGCATAGCCAGCGGCGTGCTCTGCAGTGAGACCACCCGCCCTCCGCTGCTCCGGGCTCAGCAGGATTTAGGGGCAGCGGGGGATTAGTGCCGGGTGTGCACAAAGCCAGCGTGGTCAGCAGCACGCTCCACATGCCAGCTGACCACGACTACCCCCGCCCGCGGTAGTGACGTCACGTCCAGCATGCCGGGGGGGGTTGTCCATCCTCTATCAACACCCAGGCTCATTTTGAGACCTTAGAACAGCCATTGGAGTTGGAAATTCATTAATACTATGAGACAAATTTACTGCCTTAATGCCAATAATTAGAGTGAAAGAGCTTGTCTTGGTTGCAGTAACAGAGAGATCACCCGCCTTTACCTCCGTGGCATTTCTCAGCTCTGATCTAAATGCATCTGTTGGCAGATACAACAGATGATAAAAGGTCTGACTAGGTAACTTCCTCCCAGTACATCAACTGCCCAGCCATCTGAGAGGAAATCAGGCTGGGTACAACGGAGCTGTATCCATGTGAATTATTTAGGCGGAGATCAAGCTCATAAAAGTGCTGAATGAGCCCTTCAGGGAGCCAGGCAGCCAAAGATACAGTGAATGTCTGGTAGCTCGGAGGTTAGAAACTGCCTCTTATTGAGTCCTTCTTAACAAAAAAAAAAAACCAACACTTAAAAATTATTAGTTGCTGTGGGCATTTCCCTAGGCATGTTCACCTCTGATTACACGCCTTCTTGGGAGCTCTGGAAAGCTCTACTACGTTTGGGAATAAAGCAGCAGTTGCTGGTACGAGTCACCATGACACAATCCCGAAGTGCACTACTCAGAGTAAAACAACTTCTTTGTAGAGAAATGAGGTTTGTTCTGCAAAAATCTCTATCAGATCTGCTATGAGATAAAAAGCAGTGGAGATGAAAAATGGGCCAAGAAGCCACCTTCTGTATTTTAAAAGCAAAATGAGGTCAGGCTGGAAGAGGGACAGCGAGGGGGAATACACAGGCAGAGTAATAAGGATTGAAGGAGCAATGCCTCTGGTCTGAGCAGAGAATGACAACGCACAAAATCACCTGGGGCCACCTGCAGTGCCCCAGATTCCCGGACATCAGCAGATTGCAACACAGACCCCTGCCAGACAGGGAAAAGCAGCAGCACATAAGTCACTGTCAGCCTGACAGTGCTGACCTCAGAGGTGTAGCACCCTGGCCCAAGCAGCCCATCCTAGCCGAGAAGATTTGGCATCATATCAGTTTCAGACTTCCTGAACCTTAGAGGCAGTAGCCATGAGCTGATGGGACACTGGTGACAAAGGGACACTGCATGCCTCACACACCTAAGCCCCAGCTTGTTCCACCAGCTGAGGAAGGTAGGAGCCTTGTCTCATACACGTCAGGGACCAAGGCTGATGTGGGTCAGTGTTTGACAAGAAGTGTCCTCCCTGCCAGAGAAATTGTCCTGTTCACACCTTAAGATACAGAGACGCCATCAGCATAGACAAAACCAGCCTAATTTCCATTGCTCCTCAGTCCTAAAGGCTCCCACTCACCTCAGGTCCAGCAAGGACCATACATCTCTACCTGGGAGGGGACCATAAGGGTAAATTTTTCACTGCTTCCACCCCAAACCAAACCTCTGAACAATCTCAGCCTGATATGAACTGTGCTCCTTAAGAGCCAAAGCACTCAGGGCAGTTCAGTTGTCAGAGCTGAGGAGCTCAGCCAAGTCCATCAAAGGCTGAGGAAGAAGGGCTCTGCACAGCGTCACACGATATAAATATCCTGGGACAAAGATAGCATGGCCCACACATGCCCCGTCTGCGCAGCAGAACTGAGCAGGGCCAGCAATGTATAGCATGCATACGGGAGAGGGAACCTGCGGGACTCCTGCTGAGTGACACTGCGCTGCCTGGGATGAAAACAAATGGCAAAAGCAGGTGAAAAATACTGTGTTTAGTGAGCCATTTTTTATGCCTAGTTTATCTGAGATGTTCTAGAGTATTGTGCAGAAGTTGTGGCATCCCCTACACACACACAGAGGGCAGGTCCAAAACTGGAATACTCACAGTCTGTTCCTGAGTCAGGCTACTTCGACCACGTAAGTGAAATAATTAGGGATCCTGTCAGGGTGGCCACCTCAATGGCAATCAGCAGAGATCAAGTGGTAGCCATACGGAGCCCACCAGGCTGCAACGACTCCGAGCTGTTGGCAAACGCCTGCCTGAGAGACCCTGGGAGAAGCAGGGATTGTGATCCATGTGTTGGAGGAGTAGAGAGCAACTTCCAAGGACCTTTACTTTGTGAAGATCTAGGAACATATGAAATGCCCTGTATCCTACACAAGCTGAACTCCATCCAGTAACGTGACCCTGACAGTGGCCAGCAGGAGCTGCTTTAGCTGTAAGAACAAGGAGACAGCATGTTTCCTCCATAGGTGGACTATCTTTTCTACCCTTGTGACTGGTGAGTAACCTTGCAGCAAGACATGAAGAAGCCTTAGCACGCTGCAGACCCTGCTGCTCTACTGCTGCTCCAGGGCAGTGCTGGGTGAACCTCAGCCTCCCCTTCACAAATCTTTACACCTGGCATGAGTCAAGTCATCCCCTCATCATCCACAGCCCTAATCATCAACACCCATCCCCACCCTTGGCCCAGGCTGCTGCTGTTGCAGGGCTAGGAAACACCCAGGGGATCATAGGAAAATTCAATTTGGAAGGAACCTCAGGAGGTCTCCAGTCCAACCTCCTGCTCAGCTTTATTGGCCAGGAAGAACATCCTTATAGATGAGCTGCTTTTGAGGACACTGATCCCCATTTGGGGGTTATTGAAGGCTTCCACAGTCACTAAGCATGTTTCTCACACACTCAAACAATTCGGGATCAAAACAGGTCACTGCTTCTTGGGCTGAAGATGCTAAGCTTGTCTCATGGCCACAGAAGCATTAGCTCAGAGGAGACGCCCAATATTTGTGCAGGTGCCTAAGCCAGGCTCAGTCATTACGTGGGATTCCAAAGGGCAGCATCTCTACCATTTTTCTGAGGTGCTCAAGCCATGCTTTCTCCAAAACACTCTGAAAACAGATCAAGGTCACAAGAATGTAATTTACAGAAACTCTGCTATTATATGCATTGTCTCTTGGCTTGTTTGTTGCACTTCAGCTCAGCTTATAGCTTCCTTGGGAACACAAAATCTGCTTCAGCTCTGATGAATACAGGCCACGAAATAAGCTCAGGACCAAAAACATCCCAGTTCTTGCAGCAAAGCTCCCCTACCCCTGGAAGCTGTCCCATGTCGGGGTAGGGACCGTGGCTCTGAAGCCCTGCACAGGTACCTCGCACATGCCTGTGTGCAAGCTCCCAGAGGGAACAGCATGCCAGAAAACACCCCTCTCTGCCAGTGAAAAGTTGTGTTATCCTCTGGGGAAAGCCCCAGGCTGGACACAGATGACAGGATGGAAAATCGTGCTCTCTGACATGCTGGGGTCAGTGAAGTCTGTGAAACAAGCAAAGAGATTTCTGGTCCCAGCTGGAGCTCCCCAGCCTGCATGCTCCCAGGCTGCGCCTGGTTCCAGAGCGCCCATGGGAGGCACTTGCTGCATGGCCGGGCAGCACACCATGCTGGTGCCCAGACAAAGGGGCACCACACAAATCACTGATTTGCCTGGGAGCAGGGGCGGGAGGCTGAGGAGAACGGCCACTTTGAAACCATGTTTTTCACTCTCCACGTTCCCTTGCAGAAGAACATTATCCTTAGGTGGCTCAGCTCCAACTGTGCCAACACAAGCATATAAACCCAAGCAGTGAATGCAGTCACCGCTGCCCCACCGTTAATGTGAAGGCTCAGAGGAGTTTTGGTGAATCCCTTTGGGATGGACATCCCCTTGCCAGCCCCAGCCAGAGCTCCCATCTCCACTGGGTGACCTGAAGTCAGAAAGGAAAGAGGAGAAGAAAGGCAAGCTGTCATGGAGGGGTTGGTTATATCCCCCTTTCCCAGGAAGGATGCTTCCCATGCAGGGTGCCCCAGCACCCCAGGAAGACCAACACCCCAACAACAGGCATCTCTGGGGCTGGAAGCTGCTGAGATGCCAAACCTTGCCCCCACTTGCACATTCTGGGGCTGCAGGGTAAAACTCATGGTGATCCTTCCCAGGAAATGCACATTGGTACCAGGACCACAGGCTTCTCCTGGTGAAAGAAACTCCCAAATTTCAACAGATCTCAAAGTGAGATCTGACATGCAGGCTTGGGCTGAGTGTCTAGGCATCCGGCAGGTTTACCTGGTCTTTCTGGCAGCAACAACCCCAGACTCTTGGTATTTGATACTCTGCTTAATCTGATGAGATTTCAGAAAAGAAATGAGACCAGTAACTATATTTTGTTGTTAAAAACAAAGCTGGGTTTGAGCAGCACATGCTCTAAAAATGTCTAGAATTAAATCACACTTTTCTCCTTCTACTTTTTTTATATATAACTAACCTACTTTCTCCCAGATCAAAGCCTGCGACGTAGCACGCCTGCACTGAAATCACCATCACAACTGAAAATACATCTTTACCTAATGCAAAGGTCATTCATTCAGACTCTCTCTGCTGTGGAAAGCCATGCCTCTACCCCCCCGGTCTCACAGACTGCATCCTCAGCCCCCCTGAGCCACAACCCCAACAGCCTGCCAGGCCCCCAGGCACCAGACACGGGAGGTTTTGCCGTCCAGCCAAGACTCACCAGTTTGTATTTGTATGCGACATACTCCACTTTGTCCTTCCTATCAGAGTTTTGCCCTGTCCCACTGCAATTAGACGGGAGGAGATTGCAGGGCAATGACCTCAGCCGACCCAATTGCAGCGCCGACTCTCCAGTAGCTCTATGAACCTGCTCTGGTGACATTTTCTGTTTAATAACGAACAATGCACTTTTAACGAGCAGCCCCCGTTGAAAGACTCTCAGCTCTTGCATTGAGAGCAGCGCTCAATGCCCGTTAGCTGAACTAGAAAGACACACAGCAATCTGCTTTCATCAACAAGCACTACTTTACGTATTTACCTCCAATGGCCCCAGCAATGAAATCCATCCAGACTGAGTCTGCTGCCTTAATCACCCTGATTAAGCGTTAGGGAGGTAGAAGAAGGGAGAATACCAGTTCGGTCTTTCCAGAGCCCCGCAGGTCCTTCTGAGACAGCGTGATTTGCAATATGAATCACCTTCCTCCTGTCTTCTCTTGCCTCTGGGGATCGTTAGCCTTGTGGATACTTGATGAGTTTGTACACTGGAGGCAGAGACGAGGAGCCTGGAGCCGTTCCAGGAACAGAGTGAATAAGTAATCCCGTGAGCCCTGCAACGCTGCGCCAGAGCCGCTGTTCCCAGTGCCTTTCTGCTTGGAAAATCACAAGGGGTGGCGCCTTGCAGGGTAACGCTGGCTGTGAAAGGGCCATTCCCTGTGGTACTTACTAACCTTGCACACTTGTTTGCCAGTGGACACTCGCCCTGCGCCACTGAGATGCCTCCTCCTCCCATGTCAGTCCACCCTTCCTCCTTCTGATGGAGCAGTCCTCTTTCTCATCAAGGAAAATCGCTTGTGCCCTTCCCCAAAAAAATGCCTTGGCTTTCCTAACCCATACAGCTGACCCTAAAGTTTTACCCAGATCCTCAGGAATTATTACCTACTGTATTGTATATACACATGGTGAAACCCAGAAATAAATCCAACGGTATACAAAGCTTTTGCTTCCCTTTCAGACAACTGGGTAGTTTTCCCAGCCTCTGGACTAGCTCTGCTTCTTCATTTCTTGCTCAGCCTCCCCAAACCCCTTTCCCATGTCAGCTCCTTCCTGAGTTCAGCGGCAGAGCAGGAATCACTATTGCTGCTGCCCATACTCCAGGGTTTTGCTGGCAGGGGAGGTGGATTGTGCCAGGAGTCTGGTCGAGCACCTAATTTTTCCTTCCTAATCAACACCCAGAACAGGGTGGTGAGCTCAGAAAGAGAAAAGCACAGAGAGAGACCTGCTGGTGAAGAACAATCAGAGCGCTAGAAAATGCCATATTGCCTATTTTTGCACAACAGCCCCGTACCAGAGGGCTGCCACATCTACACCAGAGAGGTTAAGTTTTGCCCAGAGTGAACCTGGAAACCAAAGTCCTGATGCAGTGAAGGGCTTGCCAAGTCATGACCTGAACCGTAGTCCTCTTCAAAGGTTTCCCCAGGTCACAGCCGAGGCACACTGGCAGCAAAGTGAAAAGAAAATTTCATGGTTGCTTGACCCAGGGGTTGGCTTCACAGAGGAACTGAGGACTTTAGTCCTCAGTGCTAAGTCTCCTGCAGATTTCAAAAGAACCTATTTCTTGCTGAAGTGCATATTTTGGATGGGTGATGTGTCAGTGACATCTAGTGCAGCTCAGTGTGAGAACTCAGAGTTTCTAGGAACTGAAAATTTTTAGCAACATTCTTCCCATTTCTTACACATCCTTCCCTGAACACCTCCTGCGCTGGAGGCAACAGTGTAACATCATGCAAGGACAGCAAAAACTTAAATCAGAAGTAAAATATTATCTAGAGAGATAGCAACGTAGGTGCTAAAACCCACCGGGTTATTCAGTAGCCCTTCCTTGTTACACCTGCTGACCATACAGGCGTTATTAACGGTTCATCAACAGTCTGTACGTGCCAAGTGCAAGGAAAGGTGCTGTGTCCACTTCTCCCGCCAGCTGTCCTTACAGGCCCCCTCCAGCAGCGAGACCAAATGTGGGACCTGCAATGTCAGCGACACTGGGGACAAGAACACAGCCCCCTGCAGAGGAGCAGCCTGGGAGAACAACAGACTCCTGGTTCCTGCAGTCACCTCTGCATTTGGGCCCACTGCTTAGACACCACTGTTTATTATTGCTTTTCTGGGAGCTGCTTCCAGGCACAGTGAAGGAATTTGTTATATTCCCAATATGAAACTGTCACCATGCGTTCCCTCCCATCCCGTGGCTGGGGGGTGTTGTGTGGGTGGAGACTTTTTTATGCATTGCAGTGGCTGGTGCAGTACCAGCAAGAAAATAGAGACTGGCTAGCATGTCACACTGGCTGACAGAAGTGTCAGGGCTAGTACGTATTTCCCGTGAAATGGCATAAAACCAAGCAAAATTTCTATGTCTTCTTTGGCTGAGCTGAACAGATCAAAGGGAAACTTCCTCGTGAAACCTTCTGAGATTGTAAAAAAAAAAAAAAAACACCCAAGAAAACCAATATGAAAACCTTCCTTTTGCAACAGAAAATTAACCCTTTTTTGTTTAACCATCATTCACACCAACGCTTCTGTCAAAATATCAGTTTATATAGCACCGGGCTGATTCCAGACTCAAGCACTGTGATAACCTTCTGACAGTGGTTTCGGTCATTCTGATGAAGCATACTGGGAGAAGTCATGTTTTCCACACACCTGGAATTGCCCTGTAAATAGAAGCTGTTCAGAAGGCAGGCATCCTAAAGAAGAATATTCTGGTGCTTGAGACATCGCACGTTGTTCCGTGAAGGTGTCGCTGGGGCAGCCGGCTCTGGAGGAATGCACACACAGAGCTACTTTGGAGTCCCTTGCCTCGAGGGGGGCTTAGCAGGGTAACACGGACCCCAAGCAAACCCAGTCGCTGCTGCTGTGGTCTCCAGTCCTTTGCTCGCGGTGTCTGGCCAGGACCACGCTGTGCTCATCAGCTGCGCCTGGCCTGCTCGGCACAGCAAGGGCAGACCCTTCGGGAAGAGGAGTCCCGTCCAAGCGTTGAAGTGTTCGCGTACGAGCAAGTGCAGAGGAAGGCGTGAAGGAAACCCGGTTGGAGAAATGAAACCTGTGTTGCTGTTGCTGTCACCTTCTGGCACGCCCTGAACAGTCCAGACCAACTCCCCGCTAAAGAGAGAGATCCCCAAGGCAGCGACACAGCCCCCCTTACCAGGAGTCCTCCTAGAGGTGTAGAGCCCATGGGGTCTCGCTCTGCTTCACACCTTCCTGAAGGAGCTTCCTCCTTCATCCCCTCCCCCCGGGTTTCAGAGGTACACCAGCTCTCAGCTACCAGCCTCAGTACACCAGAACCCAGCCCCCACAGTGTCACAGGTCAACAGAGGCAGCTCAAAAAATCCAGCCCAAAGAAATCCTGAATTACCAGGAAGATCTTCAAGATCAAATACACATTCCTGACACTCTTTGACATGAAGGACTGGCAGAGATCACTGCTAGTCCAGCTTGCAAAGAAACGCCATGGTCCACGTCTACGCAGGGATGAGCAAGTGCCTGGTCTCAACCCAGGTGGTTTTCCCAAATGTCCTGGAAATCTGACACCCGAAATGCTCGCTTGGAGCCTGCACCAGGGATGGCACTGCCCTAGAAACAACGTACATTCCTTTCCTCCGCTGGCAAACGGTTTAAGAGGGATTTGTTCAAAATGGGTGAATTCCACTGGGGATTTTGAGAAAGCAGAGCGTGGAAGGTGCTGTTGCACAAAAAGACAGATCTGACAATATGAAGCACTCCGCAGGAAATTATGAAACGAAGTGATGAAGAAGCAAGGAAGGCCTTCCTTTTGCACAGCGCGTGCTGGATGCAACGCTCCCGTTTGCTTCGCGGGAGGAGGCAGCTGCCTCCCGCCCAGGCGCAGAGAACGGCTCCACGGCTAAAGGGGCAGCGGGGTTACAGCACTGGTGCGAGCGTATGGAGCCAAAGCAAAGGTGGAGAGGGAGACTTAGGTAGGTAATCAATGTTAAGTAACATCTTTTAGGTGAGACGTGGAAGCAGGAGCATCCTTTTACCCCTCTCCTTCCAGAGATCACTCCCAGGACTTTACCAAGGCCATCCGTCCTGCAAAGCGAAAGAGAAGCCCCTGCAACCACCTGCTACCTCGTCGAGCCAGATTTGCCGACAAAAGGTTCCCGCCTCATTCCCTGCCGTAACCTGCTGCATTTTCTATTCCACTCAGGCCATACGATACCGCACTCACATGCCTATCCATTCATTACCATCCACTTTGTTTTAGAAAAATCCTTGGCTGAAGAGCCTGTTCAAACAGCGCTACCCTGCTACGTCACCAGGCTGTTTGCACATTGCAGAACAGGAAAGGGTGACACCAGCAGTGCTGAGCTGGCAGGGCCTGGCCCTTGGCTTGCGCAGTGGTGGGTGGAAAGGGGGGTGGAACCTCCCGGCTCCAGCTGTGTTATGGATTTTCAAATCAGAAGGTGTCTCACTGTCCTTTATCTCAGATACTAATGAAAAACTAATAATGCCAAGGACTCAAACATTCACAGCAGGAA